TTTAATTTATATCTAGTCCTTTGCAAAGCCCATATTTACAATAACTATATTCTTGCACAGATACTAAATGGCTGTAAATTATGAACACCATGATCTCAGAGGAATTGCAACTGGGGCGACACAAAAAGTAACTGAAAATTGTAGAGTGGAGTCTATGTACTGTATCATATAACCAATCATTATTTGCCTATAAGGAGTAGAAGAAATAGATCACCAAGGCCAAACCTGTATATCCTTGGGCAAGTGCTCTAGGCTTCTGTTTCTTTATTTGTCAAATGAATGATAATGTACTTTCTTAAATCTTATGATCTAAAACAAAGGGTTAACCTGATTTTAATCTAGGTTTGGTGAACTTGTTTTATTTTGACAGTTTAAAAACTGTATTTCAAAATAATTCATTTCCTTTGGAATGTTATCATGTTACATATATAATTACATATGTCACATGTAAACTTTTGGTTTTGTGTTGGATAGTGTCCCCCATATCTCATGGCAGTCAGGTATCATGTAATATTTTTTCAGCGACTAGATAAAGAGTATAATTATTAAAAACCATGAATAATCCTAAAAAAGAGCATAATTATCGAAACTATGAATGATCCCAATGATTGGGGTTTAACAATGTTTTGGAAACTAGATATAGAATCCATAGTGACCATTAAAATCAAGATCAAATCTTCATCAGCAATCAATACTTGAAATGAAATTCAGCGTCCTGTGGGCACATCATATCACCCTTCTGGGTGGGTTCCAATTTCCTTATATGAAAAGGAAGGTGCAGGACCAACTGTTGATCTCTAAGGTCCCTTCCAGATCTAACTTTATGATCCTATGACTCCAGATAGGAAGTGGAACAGCTATATTGTGAGAATGAGGCATATTGGATGGTTAGCTCCAGTATTTACTGCCTTTCACATTCAAGAAATTTTAATGAATACTGGGTATACTTCCACAGAAAATTTACAAAAAGAATGGGTGGGGGAGGGGCTGTAGGGAAGGAGGAAGAGAATTTAGAGCTTGGAATTTTTAAAAATGTTAAAAAAAAATTTATAGAAAGAAATGTACATAATTTGTACTAGTGGAGGAAATTTCCACAGTAGAGATTTTAGGTCTTTCTAAATATCTATGAAAGTATATCTCATTATAAAGCAAATGTTATATTTATGTTGATTAAAATTAAATGGCAAGATTAAAATCTCAAGAACCTAAATGTACACATTTAGCAGTTAGTTTTGATGTGAATTTCTAAGGCCTGAAACAGAACAGACTAGACTAGAAACAATTTTATAGTAACTATGCCCATTTTAGAAAAAAATTTATTTCTTTATGGTTTCCTGCATAGTTTATCCCAATCACTAAACAAATGGTAAACAAATCTTTAAGTATTTTCTCACCCAGCTTAAACAAATAAAGCTACACATGTGATAGGGTTATATGGCATAGGAATAAAATTACTCTACCATATTAATGTACCTCATTTTATGTAAAAGACACGTTGCTGAAAAGTTGTGTACAAATGAAGGGGTACTTTAAATATATTATTAGGGGGCTTGTTAATTAAAAGTAACTTTTAGTGAATTATTCTGCAGAGTAAATAATCAAAAGCCAGTTGATCAATCATAAATCTGGATTTTTATACATAAAACAAGGTATAAGTAAAGATGAAAATTTTTAAGGCTTCACAACCCAACCAATAAACTACAATGGAATAGGTTCAAGAAAGAAATCAAAAGCCAGAACAAACCAGGTCAGAACACAGGTATTCCTAGCTCCTAACACTTATGATGCTATTTTGGGAGATATCAATTCTAAAGCAGTAAGCTCAGACCACTCCAAAGTCTGAACCATTTGATAGTCTAACGTACATGTTACAAAAGTCCAAAGTAGCCAGAGATGTGGAAGCAGGAATACTAATCATCATCATCATGGGATTTGTTTCCATTTAAATCAAAGCAGGTAAAAGCACTTTAGCCATTCTTCATGCCCCTTCCCCTCTCAATAGGAGAAAACACATTGCAAGGGCTCTTACTTCATTTAGAAACCATTATTCACAACTACAGAGTTTACCAAAACAAATACGTAAGGTTCACACCTACTGTGATAAGTAGTATTACATTAAAGATTCAGAAATAAAGAAAGCAAAATCCCTAGGTTTAAAAATAATAGCCCCACTTTAACTTGTTTCACATTTTTATTTTTTCAGAGAGAACTTATATTTACATATAGTTTAATTTTGTCATCACAACATGTAAGGCAAGTAAATCAAGTATAATTATTTCCACTTTGCGCATGAGGAAACATAAGCACAGTATAAGAGGTTCTGCTTAAGGTCACGCAGGTGGTTGATGGCAAAGATGGGACCAAGCTTCCTAAATCATAGCCACATGTTTTTCCCATTAATCAATTACCTTCCTTTCCTATGGAATTGAACACAAAAACTGGGGGGAAACCACCACTTTTATGTATCATAACATTTATCAGGCAATTTAAGATTCAAGAAGCTATGGTCATACTAAATATTCATTAAAATAATGACTCTTCTTGTTATCTTACAACACAATTATTTAAACAGAATGAAATTCCTAGAGAGGTTCAAAGAAACAAAAGCAGAGAATTTCATGAAAGTCTGCCATCTACCTGTTATACCACAAGACTTCAAAATGGACTTGCCTACCTGTAAAAGTAGCAGACATAATGAATCACCTGTACCATCATGTTTAGACCCAATTGGGAAGACCTGATAGAGTAGAAAGCACCTTTTCAAAAAAAATTCCTTTGCTTTTTGGATATGTAACAATTTTAATTGAATGAAAAGTGGGGCGGGGGAGGGGGGCTTGGCAGGGACTTTTTTTTACTGGAGATTTTTAATATTACTTTGATGCTCTTTTTGGTGGTTTTCTTTGTCATGCTCCTATGCGGTAGTGGGTACAGCCAACCCCTGTGGCCTGAGCCGCTGTGAAAAGAAGCTTACTACTGTGCAGCATTCACAGAAGAGGCAGCCTTCCACCACTGTCTCCCAGTCTGACTCAACATTTCAATTAGACTTTTTCATGGATAAAGCTAAAATGCAGATATCGCTATGGTCCATGGATCAGGCAGATTAATGGAAAGGCTGAAAAAGAACAATCATTTATCATGGAAAGCAGGTATGATTTTCCTTTTCTTTTTTTCCTGTTGAAAGGTTAAAAGCCTTCAGTATAGAAACTTTCCTTCCCAAATGAAATACTAGCAAACTTTCTAAAAGATCAAGTTACCTGATGGGGCAGCTTTCCAGTCAGATGACTTGGCAAAAGAGCCAAAGCTGTTCTTTAACACTTAACCCAACCCATTTGCCCACTATATCTTTCCATTACCAAAAGGAATCCTTATACTTCAGTGAGCACTGGTTATTATATTAGAATATTTCTGCCAAATACCATATTTTAAGTCTGTTAAGAAACGGAAAATCTTCCAATTATGTTCATATCCCTGCTCAGCTCCAATGTATTCAGTGCTGCACAAATGTCACTCACACAAGAAGTTATACCTCAACTGATGAATCTCCTGGGAATAAAGCTTCTTTAGAAAAAAAATTAAATCATCATTAATCATGCAAAGTAGTGTTAGTATATGTCACTTAGCTGAAAACTTTGTCTTCTGTGGGGGTGAAACTGTCTATGATTTCACTTGCAACAAAATGTGACCTTTCCATCCCCTGAGATCCTCTAGTACTCATTTATTATTTGTAGCACTTACCTGACACTAACTTACTGCCTACTATCAAGCCACATATATTGCCTTGCATACAGCAGGTGCTCAACAAGAATTTGTCAGTTAAATTTACTCCATTTCAACAATTTCTTTTTCCAATTATTTTACTCACTTTTGCTACTCTTTCCTGGGAACCTTCCAATTTTTCCATATCCCACATAAAATGAAGGAACCAAAATAAGATGCAGCTTTCTAATCAGTATCCAATCAATAATAAAGTAGAGGAGAAAGATTACTTATCCATAGCTATCATGCTTTTACCAATCTGTCCCAGTATCACATTCATACATTGCTAACTTGTAATCAGTTTGTGATCCAAAGCATGAGCCCAAGACAGCAATCAACATACATTCCCTGTCTTTCAAAGCGTTTGGTAACCTAAGAAACACACCTTCACCTCTACCATCCAAGTCCATGATATAATATGAAAGAAAGTTGAACCCTAAAATGACGTTTTACTTCACCAATTAACAAGTATTCTCCAAATGAGAACCCCTATCCATCACTAGTCTTTGGAATTGATTTTTCTGACTCAGGTTCCTTAGTATCAGTTTACTGAGAATGCCAAAACCAAAAACCTTAGCAAAACCCAACTGCATACCTTGTATTACTTCTTTTCTATCTATCAAGACCATCACTCTGTCATAAAATGCAGTGTTATTAAGATAATGATTTGTTTCTCATAAAACTAGGCTATTTACTCTCATGTAAGATTCCTTTGTCTTGTGTTCTTCTAGTTGTCTACAAATCAATTTTTTGATCATTTTTTCTAGTACATTTTTGGTATCATAATTAAGCTGACTGGCCTATAACCTTCAGAGTTATCCTTCTTCCCTTTCATAGTAATGGGCTCTGAATTTTTACATTTGCAATCCACAGGCATGCCTTCTCTCCTCCCAGAATCCTCAAAAATAATAGCAAAAATCAAGCATGACAGAAGCAGAATATTGGAATTCTCCTGGGGTCTGCAGAGGCCCAAGCCTGCCAGCTTTAAGCATGGAGTGCCTGATCCCATCTTTTGCCTTGAGCTCCTTCTTGAATAGCAACTAGTCTGAATTCTGTGGTCCTAGTGATGGTTTGCGCTGCCCTACAGCAGATGCTGGGAAGTGATAGAAGAAACAGATTATCAAGTCTTTAAGTTTCTGTTATCTTGAAAGTACCCTGTGAATAGAGGTTATAAACTCACAAGCCAGAAAAGCTTCAGACTTTGCTCTTAAAAATAACTTTGCCTGGCAAGTTTTGTTACCCACCTTGAAGTTCTCCGCTGCGGCTGTACAGCTCTCTTCTCTGCTCACGCAAGTAGGCACTCATGCTGATAGCATGGGAGGATGACTCAAACCTACAGTGGAACAGAAGGGCCAGGAAAGGTTTAGATGCTAACAACACAGACCACCAAAAACCTGCTTTATCCAAAAGAACAACACCCCAATCAGCCCACATCTGCTCCTCCAACATCCCGGCCAAGAAAGCAATGGGAAGCAGAAAAGAATAACAACAGGTAACAAGACCAAGGTCAGTGTCTGACTTCTGCTGAACTGTTCAAACTCTCTTCAGTCTCCTGGTAGGCCTTTTCCCTCGTTAATTATATCGGCGTTCAATACTTTAACAATCCCACAAATATTTATTAAGTGACTAGTACGTGCAAGCCACTATCCAAGACGCTGGAGATGAAAAGATTGAAAACAAACAAAAAGCACAGCTCCTGTCCTCAATGAGTTTACCTTCTATTAGGGGGTGAGAGGAGAGAGTACCATTAGAACTGTCATCAGTCTAACAGTGCTGTCATGTCTTCAAGGTGTTTTGCATTCATTACCTCACTTGAGTCTCACAACAAACCTAAAGAGTGGGTACTATGGATATTATCGTATGCCCTTTATAGAGGAGGACACAGCAGCTCAGAAAACTTAAATAACCCAGTCACAGTCAAACAACTAGACAGTGTCACAGGCAGGATCTGGACACAGGTTTTCCTACCGTCAGGTTCAATACTTTACTCACAAAACCACGTTTCCTCCAACAAATCACACTGAATAAATACAAGGTAATTAGAAGCTAGAGAGAACCTAATAACTAGGGGACCAAGAAAAGCTTCCTGTTGGACTAAGCCTTGAAAGAGGCTAAGGATTCTAACAGGCAGAGCACAGAAGAGGATCAGGGATGGCCTATGCAAAAGCACCAACTATGAGGGAATGGAAATGCAGGCTACAATGAGAGAAGTAATATAAGATACATCTGCCAAGAGAGACTGGTGTCAGATTGTAGAACGCCACATCAAGCTGCAGGGACTGTTGATTTTTGAGCAGGGGAGTGCCACGATCAGAATTGTGGAGCAATAAGGGTCATTTTACATGTCATTATGAACATATCACTGCCCAGTTCAGAAAGATTCAGTATGTCACAGCTGTCCCTCACCTAAGACTCCTGCTCTCTGTTATTGGACAACAACTCTGCTCTTGTCATTCTCAGGAGGCTTCTGTTTATCAGCAGTACTTTGGAAATGTTGCTAACTAACTACCCCAAAAACGAAGACCAGCCACAGATTGTAATTTAGAGCCCTCAAGATAATATATCTACCAAAATACCATTCACTTTTTGGGCTTTACCAAGTATCAAATAAAACACTTTTCCAGAATTGTAAAATGGATATTTCTATCTTCCACAAAAGCAGTTTCATAACCACAAAGTTTGGAAGATGTTGTTATCTACCTTATAACTGCCCTGTACAAGAGGGTATAGAAAGAGAGAATTCACATGATATCTAATAGATTCCTAAAATCTGAAATAATAAATAACATAAGAAAAATATTCAGGGTCTTAAATCAAAACTAAGGATGCAAAACAAAACTGAATAGATTCCTGAAATCTGAAACAATGAAAAAAAAAAGGAAGCTAGAGACAAGACAAAGTAAGGAGGCAAGGCAGCTAGCTGGTGTAGTGAATTGAGAGCTGGGCTTAGAATCAGAAACACCGAGTTCAAAACCAGTCTCAGAAACTTCCTAGCTGCGTGACTTTGGGCAAATTACTTGACTTCTGTTTGTCCCTGGAAAAGGAAATGGCAAGCCACACTCCAGAATCTTTGCCAAGAAAATCCCATGGACACTTGTCCTCGTGGTCAAGAAGAGTCAGACACAATTAGAATGACTGAACAACAAGTGAAGAGTGAATCTACTGGTGGAGTTTGTTTCAACACTGAAATTTGAAAAGATAAAAACAAAATCCTCCAGCAGGCAACAGACACAGAGAAACCCCTCTTAACTATCACTGTTACTAGGGGGCAAAGGACAAGAGCAGGAATGATAACAAGCTAGATTTCCATTATAGAGGAGCTGCACTATCATTTTTTTAACCTAAGAACTGGAGGACTAAGAAAGGTCATTCATAGACAATGGAAAGGAATAAACAGATAGGCACAAAAGCCTGACAGAAAAAATCATTGCACTTAATTCTTTACTACGTAGGAGCCAAAAACTGAACAGGCACAAAAATCTGATGCAAGGTAGTATATGCCACTTCCACCCTAACATGCTACCTGCCAGTCAACTGGAGAAAAGATAGGTGTGACCTCCAAAAAAAGCAAACTGAAAGCTACTGGCCAGAAGACAAGAGAAAAGTAGGGTTGTGAAAAGAGAAAGGAAAGACAAACATGCTAAGAGAGGATAGCTGTTAATAAAGCACAATTAACCTCAGCAAGAGACAATTAATGATAGATAATAAAGCACTTTTTGCACTTGAGAATAATGGGATTTCACCAAAATGTTAACCTTTCATAACCTGAAGATTTTTTTGAAACTCTGTAATCCTTTCTACCTCCTAGGAGTCAATGACTTACAATCTCATGAAGATCACAGATATGTTAGAACTGTGTGTGAAACCTGGGACTGAGAATTAGAGTTCAAGAATATTTTGCCTAAAAATCCTTAAAACTGCCTAATATGCTCAGATAAAGACTGGCAGAAGGCATGAAGTACACTAACCATGCCAAAGTTATGTAGTTCCTATATGTAACTGAATAATACCTATGGAAAAGAGAAAAGAACACACTCCAAAGTAAGTAAATTCAACTCTTTAAAAAATACAAAATGCATATTAATTCCAAAACTGACTCAGTAAAGGGTACAGAAGGTTCAACTATATACAACAAATATAAATTCAATTTTTAAAAAACAACAACAAAAACAAAATCTTAACTTCATTTCTGGTTCGTATACTAGATGAGAAAAAAGAGGTAGCATGTGTTCCATTTGTGTCCAGTGGAATAGAGAAGTGTGCATGTGTTAATCAGTTATAACAAAAAAAGTAGTGTAGGAATTTTTCCCAAATACTATTAAAAAGGAGAGAAAGGAGGGTTTTGGGGTTTTTTTGGTCAATTGGTTGAGTCCGACTCTTAATAACCTCATTTGGGGTCTTCTTGGCAAAGACACTGGAGTAGTTTGCCATTTCCTACCCCAGCTGGAAACTGAGGCAAACAGGATCGAAAAGGGAAAAAAGGGAAAGAAATTCTACTTTGACCAATTAATATTGTGCCCAAAGATCAGAAAAGAACATAAGTATTGTGGAGTTTTATTAAAAAAAAATAACTACTTAGGATTAGGGATTTTCTCAGAAGGTAGAGTATTCCTTTCCCATTAATTTCCCCAAGGCTGCTTGAATTTTTTTTATTAAACAGTGAAGATATTCCAAGACTCAAATACCACAGCTTTAACTAACAATAAACAATAGTACAAAGAACTGAAGAAAGCCTTTAGAAATCAACTTACTATGACATCATTCAAACCAATGTTTTAAATGAATATTGCAATTTACTGTCAAGCAACTTTATAAGTCCCACTGGGTTTGAGCATGTAACAATCGCTCCTATTTCCTGTCTTAGTACTTACTTAAAGAGAGAGTTTTTTGGCCTTTGAGGTTTCTTTTTGGCAAAAAAAGCTGCAAATTCCCATCCTGTGCTGGCATAACTAAGCTGAGCTGATGGTTCAGAAGCTGTTCGAGTGTTCTTCATATCCAAATACTCTGTCAGCAGCATCTACACAAGTAGACAAAACAGTTTAATATAGATAGTTCTATAGGCTAACGAGACTCCAATCAGCAAATATGTAACAATGCAATTACATCTTATTACAGCCAAAGTTGTACTAAGCCAGATATTTTAAGTTTTTCCATAGTTTTCTAAATTGAAGATTATTCTCATAATTTATCAGTTTCCTCTTTCCCACACTTAAAGGGTCAGGGGAAGGCAGAACAGATGATGGAAGGGCAAGAGATAGAAAGGCTTTTTACCCTGATCACAGGAATACTGTTAAGAATGAATGTTTAGGGGCAGTTAGGTGGCGCAGTGGACAGAGAACTGGCCCTGAAGTCAGGAGAACCTGAGTTCAAATCCGGCCTCCGACCAAACACTTGACATTTACTAGCTGTGTGACCCTGGGCAAGTCACTTAACCTCAACTGCCAAAAAAAAAAAAGAATGGAACGTTTGGGCAAATATATGCCTTTCACTTAAACAAATATGTATTAATTATCTGCCTTTGTAAGGCCTTGTACTAAGCACTGAAGACCAAAAACCAAAGTCTCTGCCCTCAAGGATCTTATTCCACCAAGGAATGAAACAAATACACAGATGAGTAAATACAAGACAAGGTAATTTCAAAAAGAAAGAATAAACAAACAAAAAGAGGAATCAGAAGAAGTTTCATGTATGAAGGAGCTCCTAAGCTGTACACTAAAAGATATTAGGAATTCAAAGAGACAGAATTGAGGAACAAGGGCTTTACAGACATGGGGGAAAATGGACTGGTGAAGGGAGAAACTAAAAGGCCTACTTTTACATTATGACTAATGAGAAAATATGTTTAACATGAATGTCTATGTAGAGCCTATATTGGATTGTACACCATCTGGGGGGGGAGGGTGGGGAAGAGAAGAAATGGGAGGAGGAGAAAATTTAGAAGTGTAAATCTTATGGAAGTGAATGCTGAAAATTAAAAAAGAAAGGTCAACTTTAAAAAAACTATTTTAACAGTCCCAGCAAGAGGAAATAAATGGATTAGTGAACTAGTATGTTTGTTGTTTGTCCTTTGTTTTCAAAAAGGGCCAAAGACATCACTGGGTGACGTCTTGACTTGTGAGTGAATAGGATTTAAGTGAGGCAGAGTTGCAAAAAGTCATTAGATTCACTCTCTCTCCCAAAGTCATGAAGTCCAGTGGCAAAACAAAAGTAAGGACTTCCCCAGCTGCAGTGGATGACCTCAGTATCTTCAATATCAGACCAAGCTCTAAGTGCTTCAGGCAGGATCTCTATACGTTCAGAAAAGAAAATATATTCAAGTACTTGGCAATCTTGAAAGCGTTACATAAACTTCAGCTACTGATATTCAAGCTAAACGCTATTTACACGTAGTGCTATACAATAAGATTGATATTTCAAAAATACCTACAATACTTTCAGCTGTAGAAGAAAGTCCAATTAAGTCCAATATACTTTACTTACAAAGGTAGGGAAATGTATTCATATTCACTTAACCGTAACTCCACATCTTCTTACAGATTGAAATTAACTGACATTGTTCCTGTACCAAGGTTTAATGCATGAACCATAGTTAAAGAATCTACAGACCTAGTGATCCTAATTTTTCCATTGTAAACAGAATCAAATTTACCAGCTTGAAATGAGGCAGAAAGGTAGTATAGTTGATAGGAAGATATGAGTCAAATACTTCCTCTAACCAACTGTGGGACCTTGGGCAAGTCATTTAACCTCTGTTTGCTTCAGTTTACTCAGCTTTAAAATGGGGGAAAAAATAGCACCTACCATGTAAGGTTGTTGTGAGGATCAAATAAAACAGTATTTGTAAAGTGCCTAGCACAGTGCCTAGCAGATAATAGGAGCTATATGAATGTACATTCCCTTCTGCTTTCCTTAAAATATAGTAATGTGATAATACATTAATGTGTAATGTATATGAATACATTAGTGAAGTACATTAATACATTCACTGTTTTTCACTGTTTTTGTTTACTTTATTGTTAATTTCTTGCTTAAGAAATTCTGTTCTATTGTAAACGATATGGTCACTTTAAGTTCCATAACTGCAGCAGTATCTAAAGCCAAATCCTAAGGGCAACATGGTAAAAGACTGTTAGCTGAGTCAGGTCAGAGATCTTATGTAAATTTAATTTTAAAAGACAAGGGAGAAAGAAAAGGAAGAGTACTATTCTGTTTCTTGTCCATTTTAGTTATAAATCCTTTGATCCTACAATCTTTCCTAGACAGTAAAGTGGGAAAATGTTTCTTTCTTGCTGGGAAAACAAGATATTAGCAGAGAACCTTTTGCATCCTTCCTTGTAACAAAGACAAAGTAACAGGAATAAGGGACCGTACAGAGGGTCACAGGGGCACTGTGGTTTTGTTTCGGTTTTTGGTTTTTTTACTGTTAGCTTCCTTTTTTAAAAGAACTGAGAAAAGAGCCTGAGGTGGGGAAAAAGGCTTTTGGTAAAGAAAAGAGTTAGAGGGGCCCTAACTAAACAAAACACAAAGCCTAGAAAATTTAGAATAAATTACTGAGCAAGACTTCTGGCATGGAGTGGAAGCAAGATTGTCACTTTAAAATTATGTTTAAGAATAAAAGATAACAGGGCAAGGAATAGTTAGGACATAGGCAAAAAGATATATTTACATACCTTAGGCATTTATCTTTTTTTAAATAATTTAAAACAAAATTAAAATCTCCAAAAAAAATTACATACTTTATAGCATAGAGACTATATGACTGTACTAGACTTGTTCAGTGGAACACAGATTTGAAGCTAAGAATGAAAACCATTTCTTAAGGACTTACCTTATAATAAGTACTGTGTCAACCTCAAGACTACAGCTACAAAGGCAACACTGTCCCTTCCCTCAAGGAGCTTATATTCTAGTGAAGGGAGACAACCCACAGCAGGGACTGATGTACTGGTTTAGGAAGTCACAGGGGAGTCAGTTGGCATAGATTTCTAGTAATATGGATTTGATTACTATTCCCACAGCCAGAAATGGAGAACACAGGGAGGGGGGTAAAGAGGGTATGAGTGCACATTGGCAGGGCAGATGGCAAGAAGATACCAACCAAGATGGATGGCAGGATGAGATATTGTGACAGGACCAATAGCTAACAGGTTTTCCCTTTCTCTCTGCAGCAAGAACTAGGCCAGTTTGTTTTTTTGTTTTTTCCCTTAAAAGGTGACACAGCTATCCCTGGACTTAATTGTACCAGACTTGGAGGTAGGGGACGGGGTGGCAAGGAAAGGGTCATTCAAGCTATACTTCCCTTGATAATCTTCTGTGACAATAATGATGTGACTCCCTGGCACAAAAATGCCCAACACATGAAGCTGGGGCCCTTCACACTGAGCAGATGTCCCAAGATCACACCTGCCTTGCTAACCACATGAATTTCCATTTGGAGAGAATGAGAACTGTTTCTACACAAGCTGAAATGCTGATACACTCTTTCTGACTATCCTTTATAGGCTACAGCTAGGTAAATTTCTTTTGGTTAACTATTAAATTCTCTGTGGTTGCCATATTTTGCCCCATATGCAACCTGTGTTACCCTGGAACTGGCCTGAGCACCCACCCCACCCCGAACCAATGGGAAACACATAAATATGGTTTTGGACTAGCTGTACAGAACAGCAAGACTGAGAAACAAAAGTGCTCTTAGAGGTCACCTTGTCCAATTCTCTCATTTTAGAAACTGAGGCCCAAAGAGGTTAAGTAATTTGCTTAAAGTCACAGAGGTTAGTAAAAAGCAGAGTTGAGATTTGAACCCACATGCTCTGACTCCAAATTTAATGTTCTTTGCTCTTCATCACATTGGTGGCAGTGTACTCGAAGTGGAAGGTCAATAGGACCTCCTATCTAATAAGCTTTGTGCCTTTCCTTTTACAACCACAGACCTGGAGCAAGAAGTTACTATGTTCCAAACTTCATTTTACAAATAAGTAAAGAGAGGCTGAGAGATATTATTATCATAGTGGCCGAGCTGGCTTCAAATGTAGCAGAGTTTGTCATTTCTCTGCTATGTTGCATCCTACTCTAATTCCCCATCATATTCTGGTTTCATACATTCCTGTTAATCACCCTGTGGCACAGGGAGGGCAGTTATTATTTCCACTTTATAAATAAAAACCCTCCATCCTGCTTTTTAGTGGAATGAAGGTGACCCTAGGTTTTCAAAGGTTGGGCCAGTGGAATAGTCCAAGCTTTTGGCAGTCCTACCTACAAATGAATAATTCACTTAAAGGCCAAACTTTCATCACAGACTCTTCTGTTCATAAACCTTCAAACTGAAGGATGTCCAAATGTATAGGTCTAATATTCAAGATACTTTACAATCTGATCCTAACCTGCCTTCTCATTTTTATCTCCCCTAAATACTCAAACATGAGTCTCTAGACAGCCTGAACTAATCACCACTCTCTGAATATGCTTTACATGGTTCTATACCCATGTCTTTCCACAAAACATCTCCCTGGTTGTAATTCTCTCCTCATCTTTTTCTCTGCTTATATGAATGTTACTCATCTTTCAATGACTAGTAGGTCTCAATTTCTCCATAAAATCTTTCCTGAGTACCCCATTCCACTGTGACCTCTCCTCCAAACTGATTTAAATGGCACTTATTATCTATCACACTCAAATGACTCATTTCTCATGTACTATTATTAATCATCATTTTGTGATGTTGTCTTTGAAAACAAACTATAAGTAAGCTTCTTAAAGGGCTGCTAAAAATGATAACAAAAATTAGTGAGTTTTTATGTTTGTAACATGCTTTGCAAATCTCTCATTTTATCCTCACAACCACTCTTGGAAATTATCCTCATATTACAAAGGAGGAAACTGAGGCAGATGAAGGTTAACTGACTTGTCCAGGGTCATACAGTCAGTAAGTGTCTAAGGCAGGATTTATATTCACATCTTCCTGACTCCAGGTCTAGCGCTCTATCCCCAGTGCCACCTACCTGCCTCATTAGATTAGGA